GACTTCGCAAACGTCACCACCAAAAGTATTGTTTATTTCACACACTTTCAGGGCCTTAGTCATGCTCGACTTGACAGGGTATAACATTTCGGTTAGTCTTGTCCCGCTCTGCGACAATTACTCCCTTACACCTGATTCTTTTAGCGATCATGTGCTAGTTATGTTCACCCTCGGTAAAAAAATAAAATTTATAAGTCAAGATGGGAATGGTCGCCTTCGAAAATGAGCACTAGCCTCTTGAAGGATGAAGTTTTTAAGTCTAGCGTAGATGACTTAATTAAGAATTTGTTTGAAGACGAGAAGAAAATGTGGGGTACCAGGTTGGAACTTTTCAAAAAAGTAATTTGATTTGATTCAAAGAAGTAATTTCAAAAACTAATTTGAAAAAAGCAGCACCCTTAACTATCAAAAAGAGAAGAAAGAAAAAGAGCTGCTCCGTCTATTAAATTTGTTTGTAATCGAAGAAAGCGCGAAACCAGGTATGTTTGTACAAGAGATAAGAGATATCAAGAACCAAGTTGAAGTAATCGACTGTGTAAGATATTGAGGGGCTATTGTGCGTGCGCGGTCCCAGAGGCTATGGATGGGCGAAAGATCTTCGAAGCGAGCATTGAGCAACGAGAAAAGGCACGCACAGCGAAACGAGATAAAAGAAATACGCTACGAAAATACGATGAATTGGGAAAAGAAAACGATCGAGCGAGCGTTCGTTGAATATTATAACAATTTTATGGGTCAGACCGTACCACAAGATGACGGTTTTGACGCCGAGTTTTTGTCTCTTATACCCAAGCTTGAATAAGATGTTCCAGAAAGTTTAGAATCACCGATCAGCGTCCGTGAGCTTGAAGATGCCGTAGACGAATTAACTGTGGGCGAAACATCCCGGGCCGGAAGGTCTCAGTGCCGAAGTTTATGAAACGTTTAAGAGAGAGTCACCGGACGCCTTGTACGACGTGCTCTCAGAAGCGTAGTGAATAAATAAGTTACTGCCATCCTTTTTGTGAAGCCATGTAGTCTTCATTCCAAAGGTCCGTGACCCTGTTAAGCTATTATCTGTGTCCTATTACGGGCCAATAAGTCTGACTAATGTTGACTACAAACTTTACACAAAACTCCTGGCTAGACGGTTGATAATTGTTATAAAAAAGAAAAACTTTTGGGACCGCATCAGGCCTGTGGTATCGAAGGCCGCAGTGTTTACCAGCATAGATATAGTAAGGAGCATTCTAGAATATTGCGATGTTTTTGACGAACCTGTTGCTATGTTGAAGCAAGACCTGGAGAAGGCATTCGATTGTGTGTCGCGCGAGGTTTTTTTTCGTAATTTGGAGCATGAAAATGTGGGATCTGTGATTTTAGACGTGTTAAAAATGGTTTACTCAAAATGTTCGATGTTAATGATTATAATAAAGACGTCAGTGAAAGTGTACAGGTCTGATCTTCTGCAAGGCAGGGATGTCCACTGTTTCCCCTGCTGTTTGCGATTTACTTAGAACCGTTTTGTTTAAAACTGATTAACAATGATAGTATATATGGTCTGAAGTTACACCCTTGGGAAGTAAAAGTTCTTTCTTATGCAGACAACGTTCCTGCTTTTGCGTCAACCAAGACAGCGTTCGTGAGGTAATCAGCAGTGCTTCAGTCTTCTGCAAGAAAACTGGTAGTGCTATCAGCTGCGGCAAAAGCTGCAGGTCATGGCATGGCAATCGGGCCATCGTCCCCGATAATTTTGCGAATGTTCATTGCGCAGATTTTCCTGCAAAGTAACTCGGGGTGCCACTCGAGCACTACCGGGACAGCAAGCAACCACGGAGTGAAGAGACGGCAAGGGTTAAAGCCAAAGCGGAGAGCTGGAGGCGTATAGACTTCTGCATGTTTGTACGAACTACAGTTTGTAATTTATTCTTAACTGCGAAACTTTCGCGCATTTTGTAAGTGCTGTGAATGCCGCGCCTCAACGTGCAGAAACTGCACAGTTTTTGATGTTTTTATTCGGAATTCAAGCTGGGAGCGTACTGCTCGTTTCAATTTGTTCTGATCTGCTGGTAATGGTGGTCTAGGATTGTCTCATTTATTTCTACAACAAATTGTGTCTAGGTTCACAATTTTACGCGACCAGGGGCCCTAAACTCGTCAAACACAAAGTTGCAGCCGAAACTTCACAGAGCGCGCTGATTAGACGTTGGAGAAAAAAGCGCGAAGTCATCGTCATGATAGACCAATCGGTGTGCTCCGTCAACTTCGGCCCCAAATTAGTGTTTGACTAGTTTAGGGGCCCAGAACGATTGAAGTTTGCCTACCGTTATTCAAGTGCGACTGCAGTATGCACTCCCTGAGTTTGTGGAGTCATCTAGTAATCAAATGCGCTCCAGCGTACAAGGTTATTTGCGTGAAGATGTGCTTTTCTTCAGAATATTCAAGGAGCGCTTTTCCTTAGAGTATCTCAGTTCAGTTACCCGAAAACGACAGCATAAAAATTTAAGAGATGTACTGTTGACAATACCTCTTTATAGGTCATTGCACTGTGATCGTCCAGGACTAGATGTGCTTAAAAGGGTGAAAAATATCCAATAAAATGTTTGGGTGAAATATTTTTCCTTTAAATTGCTCTGTGGCGTATTTCCTGTAAAAACGTGGCTAGAACAGAAAGGTATGTTTGTACCGTGGTCGGTTAATTGTGCCCTTTGCAATAAACCCGAAAGAACAGAGCACGCATTTACTGAGCGTTGAGACGCAGTGTTTTATAAAGACATTCTTCAGTGCACGTTGAAGAAGGTTCCAGTTTTAACTAGCGCACGGCATCCGCTTTTCGCCCCGGGAAAACGAGGGGGTGTCCTTTACGATATGTTCACGCTTCTCGGCCTCCACAGTCTGTGGAGGACAAGAATGAGTGTTGATAATGCTGACGTGAATAAGAAACAAGATAGATAAAATTTAATTAAAAGTATGACCTCTATTCGCGAAGTATACCGTGCACTCTCTGAACCCCCTGATTGGCTGTCAATACTAGACGAGTTGGTGTGTTTAAAAATATTTTAATGCGCTGGCACGCGCCGGCTAAGTGGCTGATTCGCTCCTAAAGAAATTGTATGTTGGTGAATGACTGTGTGCTTTTGCATTTTGTCTAAACCAACAATAAAGAAAAAAAAGTAGGATGTAATAATTTTGTCTTATTGTTCTGTAATGCTCCTATTCGCGTGTTGTGCGTATACAGTGTTGATTGATGTGTGTATGTCCGTGACCTGAGAAAATGTGGACGGAAGGTCCAAGAATTGCTTTTTTTTTTCTTCAAGTGTTTAGCACTTTCTTTTTCCATCGCTAGATGGAGTTGTCGCCCTCAGTTTTAAACATTTGTCGACTGGTGATCTATCACTATTAAAGGGCTCTAAATTAAGCATCGAAGATTTCATTAGTCCGTTCGTCGCGGTGATCGCTCTGATTTGATACCTCTGGTTATGCTGCCTGATTGTAACAAAAACAGGTTAGGCTGCTTTTCCAGCGCGTGTTCTAGGTGCTGAATGCCGCTGTTCACGCACAAAAGTCCATGAGTGGATAGCACGCTAAACAGAGGTGAGCACGGGCATTACGTAATCGAGAGCCACACGAAGAGCGAGTGCGATACCTCCTAGCCGCTGTCGACAGAGGGTGTCAGAGCGATTCGTTGTCGCTCACGGCGTGTGATCGTTGTGTTCAATAAAGCCAGTATGCCAGTGTGTGGAAACCGATCGCTCCTTTATAAATGCTCCTGATGCCATGAAAATGGGACCGGCATCGAGCCGGCCGAGCGAGACTTCGGTGACGATCTCGGCTGTTCAGCCCCCAGTGCTTTCGGCCTCTCTTGTATGACATGCGGTGTTAGCGCTATCAAACAGAGGTGTTTAAGAAGTTTTTTGAGCCTACATATGGCAATAAACGAGCGTACAAGTCGTATGCTCTTGCTCCGGCGAGAAGCCGTGTACGGCTCGCCAACCCTTTTGATCGTATCACCTGTCGCATACTGGCCAATATATTGTTTTTAGGGTGTTAGCAGTTTCACAATTTTCTTTACTTCCGTTGGCTAACACCCTTATGCGAAAAAAGGCGTTAGCCGGAGGACGAGCCATTTACACGAAAAAGGCTGTTGAAATATTAATTGTGTAGTAGAGAGCTGGGGGCCAAGACATAAGTGGTTGTGAGGTGGTGCTCTTTGTTATTTTATATTTTGAGTGCCCCACCCTGCTACAGCCACAGCAAGGCCTGTAGGTTTTTTCTCCACACTACAATATTGGAAAGGCTGATACGTCACTTCTCTGGCATACGTGCTTGAAGTGATTTTATTACAAAGAGTATAAAATTAGGTAAATTGTTCAGAAATAAAGCGAAAAATACGTAAAGGCTATTAGGAAAAAAAATATTATTTTGCGCTTTAATGCCGTACTGAAAACTGTTTTTAACGCAGACAGCATCGCTATTTACTATTCGGGCCGTCTTTTTATGAACTGTCCTTTTGCAATCCGACAACCTCGTGTGGGCTGAAGGTTGTGTTATTGTGGGAACTCTCTGGAAGGTCGTAGTTGCGGTCGCAACGAATTTTGATGCTACAAATATGTGAATAATGCGTAGTAATATGTGCGTCGACGAAGTAAAATTGCCACTGCACGTAATATTGTGTGTGCCAATAAGATCCTCCTTTCTCTATCAAATATGGTATTGTGTCTTCTATCCCTGATTTTTCTTCGTATAACAACCCTTTGAGTTATTTTTAGTACAATTTTATCACAGCCCAAATGTCGACATTAAAACTGTCCATCAAATCTTCTTCCGCGTTACACTTTCTGAAAATTTCCTGGAGATTGAAGGATTCCAGGAAAAGAAACAGTGCCAGTCCTCTGATTCAACAAATAAGTAGGGCTCAACGTTAGTAAATGATCTCGCTAAGAATAAGAGGTTTCATTCACCGTCATCACTACAGGTGTCACTTAACTGAAAGAAATGAACAATCAACAGTGGAGATATAATATATTCTTCATATTTATTGGCCGGTCATTAGAAGACTACGGCTACTGTTGTACTGTGGCGCAGGCAAATCAGAACAATACACTGCTCACGCTTTCTCGCCATAGGTCCAAGTGAAAGCAAAATAGATATATACGAGAAAGGAGGCATTGTGAGCCGTGCAGTTCACAGCATTGAAATCGATGTGGGTGCTGTTAGATAGACATAAGAATATTGCAGTGTATTACATGGAATGTGCGTGATCTGAACACCTTGGTGGCATATTGTCTTTGATGTCACACCCATATTCGTCGGGACCACAGTGCATAACAGGAAGGGTGCGAAGATTCCTTTGATCGGGTGGAGCCACATTTGATGACCGCGGCGGTGGTTGTTTGATGAGGATGCGCAGAACTTCATGAGATGATGCAACTGTGTCTCTTGGCGGATCCAGAATACAAAAATCTCTTTCCCGTGTTGACCTGGGCTGGACACGACTGACGTCTTCGGGAGGATGTACATAAGGCCTGCGGCATCTTACTCTGAGCGAGGACCTCCTGGAACACCTGAAGTACGTTGAGGCCTTCGAGGGCGGAACACTCCACGTAGCCATGTTCCCAGTCGATCGTCGCTACGGTTTCGGCGACTTCGTAGCCGATAGCTCGTCGATGCGCGAGGTCAGCCTTGTTACCCACCACGACGACCGGTGGTGCCGCTTTCTTGCGCGCAGCCCTGACGTCGAGGATGTCGTTGCGGAGGCGTCGGACTTCCTCGAAGGATTCCGAATCGTCGATGGCAAATACCAGAAGGAACGCCTGCGCTGTGGTCATGGCCAGACTCCGCATGGCCGGGAACTGGAAGGTACCGCTGGTGTCTAGGAGCTCGAGAGTAAGGTTCTGGCGGCCACCGGTTGCGGCGCCATAGTCCCGTCGATGCAGTTCTTCTACAGTCGCGTTGTACTGTCCTGGAACGCGGTCGTACAGGAACTGGTGGATGAGCGTCGACTTGCCAACGCGGGAAGCGCCCATGACGGCAATCCGCACGGCTTTTGTTTGTTTTTCAGAGTTTGGCGGTGGGCCCGTTGGAAGGCGAATTCTGTTCAAGCTAGGCATGGTGCTGGCTTGGCTTGATCTTTAATTTGCCTTGAGCTGGAGTCCCCGGTATTTGGTGGAAGCTTGTTTTAGCCTGCAGAAATGACTTGCACTAGCTGGTAGTTTTTGTGATGACCTTAGAAACGGTGTTCACGGTGAGGATGATGCGGCGGGAGAATGGTCCAAATGAAATTGCCTGGAAAGAGATAAAATATGCTGATTAGATACAGAGATTTATAAATTCACTAATAACTACACAAAGCAAGCACGATGTAAATTGAACCAATTGTATGAATATCAAAATAGCTCACGTTGATGAAACGCATTTGTTTACTCGAGTATTAAGATGAACTAATACCTTCATGAAGAATATCTTAGGAAAATACTGGAAAAAAATTAGACTAATTGCTTCAAGAGTGGGCCCGATCTCCAGCATTTCTTCCATTTTGCATCATTCAAATTTCAAACGTAATAATTATGACTTCGTCCCTTTCCTTTCATTATCGTACCTCTCTTCATCTAAGCGTTACTCATATCCAACGCAAAATAAAAATATCTTATACTTAAATATCAATATCATGTTGCGAGCATTCGGTTCATGAATACAGATACAGACCCAGCTTTCTAAATGAAACATAAAATTAGCCCGATTGGATTTCTGGGATGTGGTCGGTTACGGACGAAGCGTGTAAATGCATAGGTGCGTTTGCGGAGGATGACAGCAATAAATCGCTTGGCCGCATTTATTTTAGGTCACCGAGCCCGTTTGTAAAAAAACCTGCGCGCGAGAGCAACCTTCTGAGGGCTGCGACCTCGTGCCCATTTAATATCACGTGGATGGGTGACAGCTTCGTGCCAGTGGAATAGGTTCGAATAAAACTGGGTCTCAGAACCCCTATGCGGGTGATGGTGACGTCACAAAGAAACTGTTATATGCAGACAGAACCATGCACGAACACGATGCGTATTGGCAGCAACATTGATGAACTCAAGTTAGGGCTTGTCGAATGAACCGTTATTGCTTTTATTAATTATCTTTTGGACGACAATTTTAACCAAGTGACTATCTACACTTTCTGGCAGGGATTAATTTCTATAACGAATACTCAACTAAAAGATATAAATGAAAATGTTATCTCTCACCATCAACGCTCCTCCTGCCTTTTATATTCTTCCCTTGCCCTTCCGCGCTTTGTTTAGTTTATTTATTCTTTGTAAGTCTATAACCACTGATAGCTGACAGATCGCAGGGCGTGCCTTGTTTTCATCATCGTTCTTAGTCGTTGACTGGTTCTTGTGCGATGTGATCGGCGGATGCCAGAGTTCAATCGGTTGAAGAGTAGTATTAAATATATCCAAGACCCACCACGACCTGCTTTAAAAAAAAAAAATATATGTCTCTGACAATAGTGATTATCACCCACCGCATCACCTGATTTAGTTACTTTTTTCTACAAGAGGCACGTCGCCTTTACCCGATGACGCCATCTTGCAGATTTCAGAAACAACCAGCCTTTCTGCTTTTATTTAGAACCGCAGCTTTGAGAGCCCAAGCAATGCGGGCAGGAGCCGCGGTTTGACGAGCCGTCGCGCTCTCGCAGGTGGCTAGGCGATTGGGCAGGCGTGGTCGTGACTGGAGCGGCGTGGCCTGGAAGCGAACACCGGCGAACACAAACGACGAGGACCAACTGCTAATTCCTTTGATGGCGTTTCCTGCGTGATCCGTCGTCTATGCACGCAGGCCTCGCAGCCTTTGAGACTGCGGGGAGCTATTCGCGCGAACGCTACTGGGCCTGGATACAGAGTTTTCTTTTTCTTCAGTTGCTTGATTTCAATCACGAGGTTTATAGGCTGCGTTCGTATTTTGAGCCGCGAAGGAGGGGCGGAACCGTTCATCGTCTACAAGCGTGTTCACCATTTTCACCCGCTTTGCTCTTTACGCCATTGCAACACACTGCACTCGCACTTGTGAGCCCTCCTGGGCAGGAGGCATCCGCCATTGCATCTCGAACGCTCCTGCTAGAGAAAGCTTAGCCCGATGGTGTTGTTGTTTAGGTGAGGGAGATCAAACGAACTACAGCCGAGGCTACAAGCGCGAGCTAGACCGCGCTGCTGACTTATAGACGTGGATTTTTAGCGCGAGCGCTCGTTCAGTGAAAGAGCCCTTCGAAGCGGCGACCTTGCGCGATCGTGCTTGTGGCATCGGCTGCAGTCTCAGCTTAAAAGTGAACGCAGTGTAGTGCCACGCGAGTCGGCGAGCGAGCGCGTGGTCAAATGATTGCCCCGATTGACTTTCGTGCGAAGGCCCAGAGTTCGATACCTGGGAGCGACGCGTATGTTATTTATTCTTTCAATTTAGGTTTTTGATAAATTCGAGAAGTTTGTTGCTTCTTCGAGGTCCGAATGTCCTGCGCGCCCGAACCTTCTACGGCGATTGTTCCAGAAGCCCACGCGTGCACCTGAGGGGCCTCCGCGTGGCAAGCCGCAGTCAATTTCGCCACACCGCTCGATCCTGCTGTTTCCCCGACATCGACGCCTCCAACGCTAGCCTTTTCATATTTTATTTTGGGCACAAGTTCGCCCCATTAAACGTTCAGTTATACACTTATTCGCCGCCTCATCATTTGTCATTCGCGACAGTATAATGGGAGCTTTGTGCGTAATGCACGAGTGAAGCCTTTTTTGTGTTTTTTTCTTCGTTTTCTTCTATTGTATCTTATAGTTGTGAGTCATCGCCTGTCTAGTCGTTCATCTTGCTTCTCTTAGGGCTTATTTTATAGCGTTGTTTCCCCTAATCATCTATAAGAAACATTTCCATCTTAATGAGCAATTGTACATCTTAAATCAAAAGATGCGAATTCTTGACACATGCCGTGATAGTCCATTTTGATGTCAGAGATAAATATTCTAGCCAAGTGGGAAATACAGTTTCGATTCCCTGACGTAAGTAAGTATAACGATTGACCTAAATAAGATCTGCACGGGCTTGAAGAAATTCAGCATTTTTTATCTACACGTGCTTGAAGATCTCCCCGTGAATGAAGAAATGCAGTTTCTCAATCCGATTTTTTTGACACCACTTTATTACACATTATGGCCATTGTGAAAAAAAAAGCATGGCCAGCGTTGTTTTATGCTAGGCATAGTGAACGATTAAACATGAGCTTTAACGGGTATGCGAACGTTGACCTCGGGTAGTATTCATTGGTAACTTGAAGACATTGCCCCAGCTTGCGTTTACGAATATTCCATTTGCGCACCTGAATCGCCATCTGAGACTTCCGCAACCAAGCTAAATTTGAATTTCTTAGGAAAGTGGATGTTATCGAATTGAAAAGCGCAGCTGACATGAGGTTCTAGCCCACATTCGTGGCTGATAGGATAAGGAAAAAAAAAACCAAAAAAAAAACATGACGATGTCCAGTGAGGAACAGCAATAATGTGGTTGCAGACGAGAATAATCCAATTAAAGAATAACAATCACAAAAGTCCTCGCACAACGCGCTCAACGAATTATGAAGCGTCCTGTATGTTCTTCCTTGTTCCTGCAGCGTCTACCATGCAACAACAAAGAAAGTGGAGGAGAGAGTGGGTATTCCAGCTGGTGATTACTCGTCTGTTCTCGCCCGCTCGCTTGCGTTGCCCTGTCGTCTGTTTCAGACACATCTATACAGCCCTTTCCCAGAATTCCTTGTGACGCCGGTGGAGGCCGCAGCGCGCGCTACGCGCAGTCCGAAAAGGTGTAGCGGCACCACGGAAAGTTTACATTGTTTGGCATTCGGTGAAGCAACCGCGTGTTGTTTTTGACATCGTCATCAATCAGCTTTCCCTATTTTGGCCTCGCGATGACATACTAGAAACTGCTGCGGTTTACCGCTACTCTGCCAGTATGAGGGTAGTGGAGGAATGTGAGGCTGACTCGACTGTTGTTGTGATTCGCTTTGTAGCCCCAGGGTCAACGCACACTTCATCAGTTGCAGATGCAGAAGCTGCGACGCCACGAGCGCCTACGTGTGCTTATCTTTCCTGGAACCTCTAGGCCGATCACCAAGGTCGAGATAAAACGTAACATTCTAGACAGCTCTCTTGACGTGTGTGTGGGTTGTAGTGTCTAGGATACTCCCCGAGACATTAAAAGTGTAAGACGCAAAGCGGAAATTTGAGATGCGTGTTACATGCTGCGTGGACCGCCGCTAATGGGCTTTCGTCTCGTTTAGCTTTATTCTCACTTCCCTGTAAAAACGCGCCTCCTAGACGCAGGAAGTTTCGACCACGGAGAATAAACGTTTTGAAAGGGAGGAAGACAAAATAACTACGTTTCATGGAATTACTTGGTACCTCCACTTATAAACCCTCCCGACTGTTTGTGCAACAGTGTGCGACTATAGTGAGTGAAAACCTATGAAACCAGGCCTTGGTTCAACCTGAGCATCCTATCATCGGTTATCAGCCAATGAGCATGCTGCATTACACCACAAGAACGTCGACGAAGAAATCACGAAGGAAGGAGCGTGGACATAACAAGCTCTTAATCTGTCAGTGCCTCCAGAGGCATAGGTTGCGGGTGCCTGCCGCTTTAACGTGAGAGGAAACCACGCACTACAAGCACCAAATTTAAAATGCCAGCTGCCAATCATCATTTTGTGAAACGATGACTAAAAAAGGTAGGGACTGCAGCACGTGTTGTTGTTTTTGACTAACCCGCGGAAGAGACGATTAAAAAAGCTCTTGTTGTTGTTTCCGTACACCTTCCTTGAGAGAGAGAGAGGGGGGAAGATATATTTCGTCTCTGAGATGCACCAGGCTCATAGCGAGCTTTTGTTTAGCGCAGCCGGCCGATTCTGGCAAGCAGCTGTGTTTGAAGTGCGCAAAAGATAAAACGGCCGCGATGCGACGTAGTTTTCCTCAGCTGCTCCGTCAAAATACATGACGCCACAGGAAGACACTCTATGGCCGCACGACGATCAAAACATAAACTTCTACCCCAGGTGAAGGGAAGGGAAGCGCTCAAGTATAATCTAATATGACGCGGCACCTTGTGGCTCGACTGCCCAACGAAGAAAGGCGACTGAACTAATGTTCCTAAAAAAATATTGCTTTACGTTGTTTCACCATATTTCTTAGCGCAGTCGACGACAGGAACCGATGGAGTCATTAGGAAGTTTTTGTAGATTGCGTTTCCCTCTGTTTCAAGCCCTCCGCAAAGATGAAGCCACTACTGCGCCTGCGCGCCGTTGGCCTTGATTGTAGAGTTCCGGGTATCGTAAAAGGTTGGGAAGAGCGTTGCGGGACGGCGAAAAACAATCTACGAAAACTCCCTATTCAAAGGGCGCGCGCAGCGTCAACGTGGTCGTCGTTTTCTCTTGGTGCGGTACTGCTTCCTAATTCCCCAATCACGCAAAGTGCATTGCGATTTTGCGGCGTCACTATGTATCCTGTTCGTGCGTCTCGAAGCCTTCTACTTAAAGTGAAGCCTAGTGCTTCTTGAAAGCACCGAATTGTTTCTGATGCGCACACTGAAGATGCCCATTCTTCTGTGCAATAGCTTCCCCTATTCTCTCTGCTTCGAATGATGAAAAAAACGGAACAAGGGACGAAGGAGACCTACCGAAAGATTAACTTCAGGTTAGAATACATTTTCGTTTTATTTAACCGTTATAAATATCGTAACACATTTTGGGTTTAAAAACGAACAGCTGAATAGAAAACAAAATATGCCGTAGAAAGAAGTATTAGTTAAACTGTGGATATCTTATTTAGCTGCTTAAAGTGAAGAGTTTGGCCAATCTAAGCACGCCAAGGCCGTGAAAGTATCCTTGCTTCCGTGTCATATCTATAGCGTCCACTGGGGCTCCTAAAGACTACTTTTGCTCTTTTCGATTGGCGGGCTGGCAGCTCAGGTAGTACTTCCTAGCAGACAAGGCATGCGGCCTTTCTCTTCCAGCTTCATCACCAGTAGCGCCGCAAGCCAGCGCTGGGCTAGCGTCCAAGTCGACGTACGCGCGTTTTGCAGCGTCTCACAGCGACCACTCCCCTCGAGCCCAGGGGCGCCAAGATGCACGCGTCTTCGGCGTTCCGACTCATTAGGCGTTGTGTCGGTTCGTTGCGTCGCCAAAGAACGACACAACAAACAGGCCTGTTCTTCAACGAGGTATTGGCTCAGGCGCCGGAAGCGTGATGAAGGCACACTCTAACTTTAGTTTCAGCTGCACGTCAAACGTCCCCCGAGGCTCTACATAAATGACGTCATCGGTTTCTAATTGGATATAACATTCTATGACCAAAGGGAGCTTTAGAAAGATGCGCCCCAGGGCAAACCGCATTTTGAGATGCCTATGCGTTCTCCTGCTCTCCGAGTTCGGCTCAACTATTGTCACAGAAACTATAAGAAAGCCAGGGCGTGCTAAACATCGCGCCTTCCATTATCGGTACGCAGTTAATCAGATAGAAGCGTACGCATGACAAGTCGTCCCCTGCATTTCTTAGGTTGACTGTGACTTTAGGTATGAGTACAATCTTGAAAAGGGGCCACAGAAGTTTGTTGAGTTCTCTCTAGGACCTAGGAGTAGACAGCAAAGACGGATACGCGGAGCGACGTATGTGTCCTAGGGACAAGCAAAGAAATGTAATTGTTGCAATGCATCAGGCAGTTTCGGTGACCTGACAAAAACCACGGCAGTGACTGCTGACAGCGCAGCCCATCTGCACCGGCGCTCATATCAAAACATAAACACGCGTCGTTTTCGAGCATGTGCAGTACCGATGATGATTGCGTGTCGCGAGCACGTAAATTAAAATGAATATAATCACTGAAATCTTAAGAAACCCAAGGTCTAACCTGCTCTGAGCACATTCCTAGAGAAAGCCTCACGGAGCTGTAAGCATGAAAATAATAAACAACGCCGTGCGTTTCTTTTTCATGTTTTTTTTTTTTTTTTTTTAAGCTGTCAGAGGTTAGAGCATTGTTGGGAACATAACTCACCACAGCCAAATAGAGTTCCGGTGGGGCTAGCTGCTCCAGCAGGTATCCATGAAAGTAGCTTGGCGATAAGGTCTCGTTGAATAACACCTCGACAAGTGCGCAGGTTGCGTTAAGAAACCGCTGGCGCTTCTCGCAGGCCGACAGGAGTGACGCGTCTCAAAACGAAACAGGTGTTCGGATCGTTCCTTGGAAACGTTTTTTTGCTTTTTCACGCGGGTTGCCGGAAGGTTTGCTCCCGTGGATGCCGGCTTCAATATGAAGATCCATCGGAGCCGGGGGTCCCTTTTATACGACGAATCCGTTACGTGTTCCGCCGATTTCACCCTTTCACCGGCGTCCCCCTCGCCCCTACGGTCTTTCTTTTCTCCTCATCCTTTTACGCAAGATTTTTTCTTCGTCTTTTTTCAGCTTTTTTTTTTTTCGCTCATGTGACCGAGGAGAGAGGGTGAAACGGAGCCTCGTGTTTCTGGGTCTCTCGCGTTACATGACTAATGGAGCGCTGAAATCGGCTTACGGCGTCGGCCTGCGCTCGCGTGGCGTCGGCTTCGGTCGACGCATAGATGTACAGACATGCGGGCTTCTGATCCCTGCCCCCCCCCCCCCCCCCCCCCCCTTTTTCTAACACGTGTTGTGGAGCGAAACCGGGCGCCAAACACGAGGATTGCGGTCCATGTGATTCTCAAAATACTCTGCTTTTGTAACACCGCGCGCTTGGCCTTATTTCTTTGTTTTCCGCCGCCCCCGTCCGACCGCTTCGGCGTCAAATGTTAAATGTGTCTGTCAGGCAGATCACACGAAACGTGATGCAGTTTGCCACTCTACGACTGCGTCGGCTTCAATTGCAAAATGACCTAAAAGAAAGTAAAAGAGAAAGTCAATATAAGCCGTGGGAAGAATGCGTGCACATTTTTTCCCTCATATGTTGCGCCCTGTAGTTCTTTACATATTGATGACGGCTAAATAAAACCTGAAAGTATTTCTGTTTGGGACACCTTTTTTATGTCACGTGAATATGTGCATTCGAGATATCTTCTGGCGCATTCCGATGGCACCTGCACAGGCACACACAAACGATTCGAGCAGTAGAGTGTCTTGGATTAGGCAAGTTAGTTACAGGCATACCATTCCTTTTTTTTTTTGTCGGTTTGTGTCGAAGCGCAGCTGTGTCGTCGGTAAGATCGCCAAAGCGGTGGGGGATACGGCGGGCTGACCGCGGGGATGGGGGAGATGTCGCCCTCAGGGCGCCTCGAGCGGGCGTCTGCCTAATTGGGGAGCCGGCACAATGGGACGCACTCCCACGGGTGGCTGCCCGATGGGGCTTTAGGGGTAGTAAACCGTGCCGAACATGTCGGCTTTACTTTCATTGTGTGAGCGGGCCGGGTTCATGGGTGCGCCCATCTTCACGGCGCCTTCTTGTAATGTCTGTCAAAGAAAGCGTGGGTTCTTTGCGTGTTTTATTTTGGTTATCCGTTTGAGACACCACGTTGTTGTTCTGCTTGTGTGGTTTTAGGACCGACCGTCTACCAGAAAGGAAATAGCGTGGGAATCTGGGTGATTGGTTCGGACGATTGGGAGAGGGAACCTACACCGACCGTGCACCGACTCTAATGGTCCGTTCACACTCTTGCAACCGAGTACGACCGAGTACGATCTCTTAAGGCTCGTTCACACTCTTGCAACCGAGTACGACCGAGAGAGACAAGACCAGTTTTTAATCGTCTTGCGACTCCTTAGGACCAGGCGCGCTGCTGCGGGGCTGGTCCTAAGACGTCGTAAGAAGATTAAAAACCGGTCTGGTCTCTCTCGGTCGTACTCGGTTGCAAGAGTGTGAACGGGCCTTAAGATGGAGGGGCAAAGGATGAGAAGGGCTTTTTGAGGTGGATCAAGCTGGGTTGCAGTTGGGTTCCTTGTGGGGGTTTTGGAGGACGGAAAGTGCCGGGCGGCGACGTCTGGTCGCGCCCACCACTGTCAACGTACTATGATAAATAAATCTATCTAAGTTAAAGTCTAAAGGCCCGTTCACACTCTTGCGACCGAATAAGACCGATAGAGACCAGACCGGTTTGTAAGCCTCTTGTGATCTCTTAGGACCAGCTCCGTTGCATCGCATCCGGCCCTAGCAAGTGGCAAAAGGCTTAAACACCGGTCTGGTCTTTCTCGGTCTTACTCGGTCGGAAGAGTGTGAACAGGCCTTAATGCCATTTGACTGAACCTCACTTCGCAACGTCTTCGCCATCAGGCCCCTTGTTGCAAGCGGCCGGACACCATCATCAACATCGACGACACCTTTTCGTATCTAGGCATTTAACCGATTGCCAGCAATTTGAACATGAAGCAATAACTTGAGCTTGCTATATACTTACAGCGTGTTTCGTATCTTACCAATTTTAAATGATATAAGCAGTTTTCTATCCCTTTCGAGGGGGGGGGGGGGGGCTCAAATACTACTTTACGAATACATTTTTCAGAAAATGTACGGGAGTCTTCCATGATACTAGTAATATTCCGTGTCAGAGACCATATGTAATTATACAAGGTGTTCCACGAAAGGTGGGCAAATTCGATATTGCGAAAACTACGCGTCGCAACAAAATAGAAGCTTGTGTCGTAGTGGTGCTTTGCCAGGGGCCCATTTAGGAACAGTATTAACGTTTGGAATAATTAAGTTGTTAATTAGTTATCCGTAATTAACTTTTTAATATTGTCTTTAAGAACGTGCTTTTCATTAGGAAAATTGATAAGCATCACCGAAAAACTCTAAATCAATAAATTGCAGAATTAAAGAAGGTACGCACGGCATTTTACGGCATTTCACCACACAACTTCGACGAGTTTTTAAGTTTTGGTTTGCAATCGGAGCGCTTCTCGGCCCCGACGGTACCGCGCCCCGTCGAGAAATAGAGCAACCAACCTCTGCTGCGTTGCCCTGGCGCACCGAAAGTTGGTTGCGCTCTCAACACACGTGCGCCCAACTTCCGTTCATGCTACGAGGCAGGCAAGGGGGTGGCATCGCTCCGAGACCACCGGGGTGCAGGACCGCGGGCGCGATGTGCTCCGATAAGAAAGCGAAACCCAGGAACGCTTCCGAATTGAGAGTTTTTTTTGAACGCCGTAAAATGCTGCCCCTGCGTTATATCCTTCTAAAAAGTGTTACTTTAGTGGTTTTCGATGACCCTGAGCAAGTTTCTAATTTGAACTATATGGCTATTTTGAATATTTAAAAAGTTAATTAACGACTTTTAATTGATTAGCCGACTGATCGTTGCGATTAGCCCCTTATACTATGTACCCCTGCCCGTGTAACTCACCTGCACAAACCGCATTAGTGTAACTTTTACGACGTTTAAAAAAAATCGGTTAAGGTAAAAAAAGAACATCCTGTATATAAATAAATATATATATTTTGATCATAACGTTCAGCATTATTATTATTATAATTACAGATTTTCGCCTGTTACTGTTACTGGCAGCTGCCATTTTGAATGCTGGTGGCGTTTTGTGCGCCCATCGGGTGCATTACTTGGTGGCAATCACTAAATCCGAGACCAATATTCTCGTACTCTAGAATGTTACCTTTTGGCGAAAACTCAATCGGGCTATAAATACTAAAATTACAAGCTTCAAATATTTAAAATATGCCACGAAAAAAATTAAACTGATTTCCTGGTACACTATTCCGATATTTACGAGTCCTCAGCCCAGCACGCGCATATTCTTTGCCTCGAAAAACGAGCAAATAGCCCGCGCACGAACACTGAAAATGGAACCGGCCAAAATCCCCCCCCCCTTTTTTTTAATTGTCTATAGACATATTCCTAAGTTACCCAAGCATCAAGAGGAATGATGGGAATATAGGTGTGCGCGCAGCGCTCTGACATCTGCCAGCCAGCGCGGTTACAGATAAAACATCTAGAAAACGATTGGTCGTGAGAGGCAAATTACGGCAGGCAGCGCCGAATGCGAAACAACTTGCCTACAAAACTGCCATTATTCCTATCTTGAAATACCCGAGTGTCATTTCGGACCCTTACACAAAACAAAGATATCAATAGGCTGGAAATGGTACAAAGAAAAAAAATTAAAGCCGTTTACAACTCCCCGTAACGCCGAATTAGAGCACAGCTCTTGAGGAGGAGGATCAAGGTGTAGTGAGGGGAGGGTATACCCCTTTTCCCTCCTCCTCTCCTCGTCATCCTGCGTGCTACTCCTCCTCCCCTCCTCTCTCCTCCTCCCCTCCTCCTTCTTCACCCCCCGTGGCCCCCGTGAGGTCACGTGACCTCACGGTTACGCCGACGCAGACGCCAACGGCGACGCCGCTTAATGGTACGTTTACACTTGCGGATCCGCTAGCGGATCCGCCCAGCTCTTGCCGCTGGGGCGAAACGCTGGGCGGAAAACGCGGCGGCGAGCCGTTTTGGTCCAGGACCTATTTCTGCCGCCGAACGAGGCGTTTCGCTGACCGGAAGTGACATTCTTGCGCGGCGCGACGGTGCCTACGTCACGAGTACGCGTTCTTCCGGGAGCAGCAACGCCCGGGAGAGAGAGAGCCGAGGCGGGAACTCTCGCGCCTTCTCGTCATATTTGACGAGACGTTACGGGAACCGCTGCCGCAGCCGGCGCTGCCGCCACTGCTCGAAGGAAATAGATGTAAACACAACCCGCTCGTCGCCGCTGCCGCCGGGAGCGGATCCGCTCGCGCGGCAGCGGATTTCTTTTCAAGTGTAAACGTACCATAAGACGGAAACGGGCGCCTAAAAGCTGCGCTCTGAAAGTGGTTAGATTCATCGACGAGGTATATAACAGGCATGATTCAGTTTGCGAGTTACTTAATAAAGCACACTTATGAATCCTTTTTACGAGAAATATTATGAACAGATTGAAACTGCTTTTCGAGATAATTCGTGGCATGATCATCATCAACCGCGACGAGTACATGTCATTTTCTGCACGTTACTAAACCCGTAGCCATCATCCTTATTATATCATTAAGCCATTGCATCGAAATACCGTTTTCCAATACTCATATTTTTCTCGCACTTTCACAGGTTGGAATAACTTACCCGCTAAAACAACGAACTGTAGTTTCCTCATTTCATTTCTCGATTCTGTACAAAAAACATTTTAATGTTTAGTGAAGGTTTCGTTTGTACTTACTTGCATGTCTATCCTTTCGCGGCATATTTGTGTGATATGGTTTTTGTCTGTTTGTTTGTTATTTTGTAATGTCATGAATGTAACCATTCCTACAATAATCCTG